ACCCCTACCTTTTCAGCTTCCCAACACTTTTCCTTTGTGTACTTCAGGTAATATATGTAGTCTACATAAAAAATGCTAATATTATACTTAGATAAGTATTAAGTGCGAGCGAGCTTCTTACTGTGGCAAAGCCTAAGCTGATCCAGTTACAGCTGCATTTGTTTGATATTGTTAATTCTTAGTGATATTAGATCAAAGCAACTATAACTACAGCATTATAACTGAAAAAGGAAAGGAACAGTTTTTAAAGAGAAGGCTTAATATTTGTGGAATGCAAAACAACATCAAAGAGCTGCTCAAATCATCATAAATTCTGCAGTAGTCTTACATGTGTGACTGTATCATCTGTTTCAGATGATCCCAAACCCCTTTGTGAAACAACTGCATGATCTTTTTAAGCAACCTTCCCACATGAAATTTATTTCTGCAAACACCCCTTGAGTATCAGATAATGAGATGAAAGTCCTTCAATGACCAGTTCGGAGAAGAGTAGTTTATGGTTTGCAATCAACTGTAAAATCATATCATATGTATCATATGAGATATCTGTAATTTCTTAAATTCAGATCTGTCTTGTTAATAACAGCTTTAAAGTGATTGTGAGCCTCCAGTTCTTTCAGAAATTTTACTTTTCAATTCCAAGTGCCAAAAATTGAGTGTTTTTTATTACTATATTATTATACTATATTATAGATACTATAATATTATAGATACTTTACTATATTATAGATACTATAATATTATATATTACTATATTGCTATATTAATATATTACTATATTATTTTATTACTGTATTACTGAAGTATGGCTCCGTGGATCTGCTTTAAGGTGATCTATTCTATGATTCTATGACCTGATCCCCCTCCTGAGGATGAGGGAGGAAGTGTTATCTTGAGGAAAACAAGAATGAAGAAGGTCAGGCAGCCTTCATGAGATCAACTTTTTAGACCACAAAATGATAAACTGATCGAAAGAGTTTGTAATGTTATAGTCTGATACATTTATTGAATTCTGTAATGCAGAGGTTGAGGTTTTAGACCGTTCACCAAAACAAAACTTCAGACGGGTGTCTTGATTTATGCAAAACCAAACAAACAACCTCTCACTCAAATTATACTAGGCATAATATATTTCTCCTGGTATTAGTAAACTCTAAAGTGATCATTGAATTTGTTCCATCAACTCTGTCCTTCCCAGAAATGCTGGGCAGGAGTGAAGAGTGCTAACAAATCAAGTAGATATATGCATCACTGATCTATACAGATCAGCTGTCCTTGAAATGTAAACTCCAGAAAGGGATCTGCATTTTCAAAGATGCATGCAGCTTTTGTCAACTGCTATTCCTGCATTCAACTCTTCTAAAGATTTGCTGTAAACTTCAGAGAGAAAAGAAAGACTTGATGCCTGCAAGCACAAATACAGAAAGACATTAGAATTTATTTTTTTTTCTCAGAAGCCTGTGAAATTGAATGTGACATACAGACATGTGAACTCTTCAATTACTGGCAAACTACCTGAAACCTTTGTTAAAGCATATATCGTTTCCAAATTAGGTTCTTGCAAAAAAACTCCACCGAAAACAAAACAATCCCACAAACAACAAAAAAAAACAAACAAACCAAACCACCAAAAGCCCTCAAAAAGAAAAGAACCTTATTCTTACTCAATATGATTTAACTCATCATTGAAAAGAAGCAAAACAAGTAGAATGTGTAAGAAAGAGGAAGCAATGCTGACAGAAAAACTGCAATGTATGTTTGTATGTTGCTACTTTCAATACCCTATTTCTGAAATTAGTGGACTGGAATGAGTTTCATTCATCACTGAGGTTGCACCCGTCAGAAAGAACAGGCTGTGTTAAACAATATAGGGAATTTGGATTTGGGGCTTCTGTTATCAGCTAAAAGTGTTGTGCTCACAAAACATGAAGTGTTAGTTCAATGTAAAATCACCCTACTGATTCAGAGTTCAGAATTTTTCTGGGATAGGTTTTTACTTGACAAATTACAAAGAAGGTATTGGTAGACTACACCACTGTAATTGCTAGTTTCCCTGTCTAATGTCCTTGTAGAGATCGTATAAGACCAGCATCAACATCCTTTTCTTTGGCTAATTTGAAAGAAATGAATTTGTATTTCCACACCTGATTCAGATCAACTTTATAATTCTGATTAGTGTCTAGATCTGATCAATGATTCAGAATTCTTAGAAAAGGTGGAAGAAGTAAATAACAATTTAGGCCATCTGTAGAAATCAGAGATGTAGTAATAGCATACTTAAGAAAGAATATTTCAGAGGTTAATTATATGCTAATGACAAATATAATTTTCTTTCATGTATACACATACAAGTAGTAGAAGAAATCAAGAATAAGATTTATTATACTATTTTTAATGTTTTCTAGTTATTGAGGGAATATTTGATGAAGGTTATTTCCACATAATCTGGCTGTGTTTGATTCTGTTCAGCTTCAGTGGAATTATGCTATACTTGCCTAGCGTATATGTTGCCCCCTCATAAAGTATTAGAAGCCTTAAAATTAGCTCTGCAATACATACCTTCTAGCTTGTGAAGTGGAAGACTGAATCCCATTTTAGGAACATCTGCTCCTATAAGCTGAATAGTGGCTTAGACAGGACACAGATCCAGGATCTTCAGCAGCCTTGAGCAGAGTTTGATGCTATGAGGATCAGAGTGTGCCCACACAACTAGAACTCACCAGTGTTCTGAGAAGCTTGAAGAGGAATGCACCTAATGAATGTTCTACTAAAGGGGTGCACTGGAGTTTCTGGATTGCAAGGTACAACGTCAAACAAGCATGTCTGTATCTGTAATTCTATCTGGCACCATATTTAACATTTCAAATTGATCTTCTTTGGTATTGATATATAATAAAATGTTTATATGAAAATGGAGAACATGTGAGTACAATACTATCAAACAAAACAAAACAAGTAAGAAATTCCTAATGCAGGAGCATAGATAGATGTCTTTTATATATAATCCAAGTATGTCATACCTAGCATATGGAACACTGTGTCTGAGAAATACAGCATAACAAGATATTATTTTAACTATGAGAGCATCCCTTGGTCTGCATTAGAAATGACAAAATAAAAATACTCCCATGTTTTGGAGGGCAAGCAATTTTTTTCTGGTTTTTTTTTTTTTTTTTTGTTAGCAAGAATCAGTGTGCCAATGGAGATGTGCAAACAAAAGCCAGAACAACAGAATAACAACAGAATACAAACATGATCCATATGGTAGTACTAATGAGAAGCTTTTCCATTCAAGAGCAAAGCAAGATAATTTTTATAACCAAATATTTGTATGGTCCCTAATATTAATAATGTTTTTGTTGTTGGTATTTTTTTTTTTTTAGCGTACAGAATAACAGTATAAGTTGAGGTTGATATTTTAATTTCTTTACATTCACAACTCTCACCTTAAACTTCTTCAGACAGTTCATATTCTTCCTTTGTCTGGAGATTTATTTATTTATTTATTTATTTTTCCAAATCCAAGATAATAACAGTGTAGTTTAATACTAATGATCTACACACAGGGAGCTTCTACTTCACCTATTCAAAATCACAGGTGAAATAGATTCCTTTTATTATTAATTGATTAATTCAACATTAGCAGGGGATGAATTATTTGTTGGAGCCACTATGTATACCCCTGTTTTAACATACAATTTAACTTACTGTATGAAAGTTTCTAGAAATCAACACCTCTATCAATTGTGCGTGATATAAAAAATACTAAGAACAAAAAACTACATAACAGAATAATACCATTTCAAATATTTACATTTTTACATGGTTAGAAGCAGTCATTTTTCCTATACAGCACAAATTTTGTAATAGATGCGTATCTGAAAGAAGTCTGCTGAAGTCAATGTATTTGCATGATGAAAAGATTAAGGTCAGACTATGACTCATGGTAATCATACAAATGTGAAACTTCTGCTTCCCCAGCCTAAAAGGTACCATTTCAATGAGCTAATGTTATTCCCATGAAGCACACTACCAGCATGTTCTCATAGTATGAATCTCTGCAGTTTAGAAAGATATCTTTGAAACAGTTTGTTGTAGGCCCTTTTAAAGAAACATTGATTTCAAATGCATTAATGCCAGTCAAAGGAATGATTAACCATCCTGTAAAATTTTGCATTGTGCTCTCTGAAGTAAGAATACAGTTGCTCTAAAACAGTGTTGTTAACAAGAGGATGGGGACGCCCTTTGGATTCATGTAAACATCTCTCCCTTCCGTCACTTCTAATGCAGTAGAATCCCTTGGTTTGGTTAAAATAAAAATTAGAAGACATAATTCTGGAAGGAAGATTTAGAAATCTTTCAACTTTTTGTAATTCAGGAAGAGGGTCCTTGATTAAAGTATTGCCATCCACTATGTGAATTTGATCCAAACTGAAATGCTTAAGCCACTTTTCCATATGAACATCATATAGACTTCTCTGAATAGCTTTGTATTTGGTATTAAGTGCTCCATTCTTAATAACAATATCTTCAAAAAGCTGAACAGGCTTGTGGCTTTCTACTCTGTTGTAATATACTTGGGTATAGTCAGATATAACTCTCTCAGTGGGATCTCTTAGAATGAGCAGCAGTTTAATGGAGCTGTTCATGTCATGAATTCTTCCTGGAGCCTGTGGTGATGTAAAATAGCCTGGTGTTTTCTCAATTGTAATTTGATTTCCATAAGAAAATGGCATCAGACTTCTATACCAGTCTATTCCTTTCACATAATTTTCATCCCAGTCAAAGAAGTGGACTTCTGTAGCTGCCACCACAATATTAGGATGAATATCCAACATTTCCAGCAAAGCCCTTGTCCCTCCTTTACGAACTCCTATGATGATTGTCTGAGGTATCTGTCGGCTTGTGCCAGGAGGTCTCACCTGTGCCAAATAGTGTTCACTTTTATTGCTGAATAATCCTACTTGTGACTTCAATGTTTCCAACAGTGCCCTGTTCTCAACAGGAGCACCCTGAGCATGAGTCAGCAGAAGATAAGCTGACACCAGTAGGAAGGCCATGTGTAGAGGAATAGTTAGTTCAAGATAATGATATGCTTGGCTAATGAAAGAATAGGTAAGTCCCCTCTCGAGCTGGTTGGTAGAACCCGTGGTAAACACACAGCAAGTTTCTGAAGCATCTACAAAATATAAAGACAGACAGGTCAGTGTTTCTAAATGCATCACCAGTTGGAAATTTAATTCACAATTCAATTCACAAATCTAATCTGTGATCACCACAGAAAATTTACACAGAAGTCATTTGTTTTGCCTGACTTTATTTCGGCAGAACAAAAAAATCTGCGTGTTTTTCCCCTTAATCTAAGGTCTGACCAATGATGGATGCTAACCCTTCAACAGTTTGTATTTCCTCTAAGCAGAACATTAGAATTGTTTACCTGATTTGAAATTCTTGACGATTATTTTCTTGATTTCCCTAGTTCTTCGCCATATACAGTATATAATTCTCTTGCTTTATATACCATAACCAGTATGATATTAATAATAACTCCAAAGAATTTCTGAATCTCAATGCTTTTCCCCAAATTCCCTGCTAGTATAGTATGTATTAGTCTAAATAATAGCATTGGATGGTGATGCATCCATGTGGTTTCCAGTAAACTATGGATCATATTAAGAAAGGTCTGTTTACTTAGACACAGAAAAGAAAGCACAGATATAAGCAAAATTTTTGAATCAGAGCCTTTTAGAGCAGAAACCTAGATGCGTGACAAAGCAAGTGTCTGAGTTGGATCTGCATGGAACAAAAATGAGACAAGGTGGATTCTTTGTGATTCTCCAGTTCCTGTGATGCACAGTCACTTAAGTGTCAGGAAAATCTTGGCAAAATCAAACCTTCAGATAATATTCTGCAATTCCTCCAAAGCTCAATATAAGAGATACCGAGATGCCTGAAAACTTCTGCAGGGAAGCAAGTCTGGTTGGAGCTGGTTATACTTTTCTTAATCCACGTAGCATATGATCATTTTAAGGAAGGGGTGAATGTTAAATTTCTTAAAAATATGAAAAAAAGCTTTAGGCTTCCAGGTATGTGCATGTGCACATGTAAGTGAAAGAAAATGTCACTTTAACTGTGTTGTTGATGTTTGAAATCTCTTGGGGAATTCTTGTATATATTACTTGAAACAGATCACAAACAGATCTACCATCTCAAATTCAGATCAATGCAACACCTGCACTGGAGCCACTATGCTTAGATTGCCTCTTTCAGAGTATGAAAATGTTACAGGAAAAATCTTCATTGAGTGGATTCTTGCACTTCATCCAATTTCTGAGCAATTATAACATTTTAAGATTTATAGAATAGATCTAATGCCCTGTTTTGTTTTCAGTGTAGAGTGTGGAAACAAGATACTTCATACAGTGAAGCAGCAGTCATTTAAAAAACAGTATCTGTTTTTGGAATTTGATTTATAGCTCACATTTTAAAGCAGTCTCAGAAATACTATGATTTTAGCTCCTTCTTCAGTTCCACTTCAGTTAGTCTCTTTTTCTGAATATATTGATGACATTACTTTGCCTCTTAGAAACAACCTTAGAAAACACAGACAATTCCCATTCATCATGGCTCGGAGGAGCACTTAGTAGTTCTATGTAAAAATTGTTTACTTTGAGGCTTATTTTAAATACTTAAACTGTTAGTTAAGAATATTTCTGACAACAACAGTCTAGGCAAGCCAGCAGATTCATCAAACCTATTTTCTAAATCATATTAAAACCTGCTCCAGCTTCTTGGATATCTAGGGAAAGACTCTTGTTAGCCTGAATGAGCTCTAAAATTATAGATAAATAGCAAATATTAACCCTAAAATTGCCATTTGAAAAATAAACTAAGATCTTTAGTGAGTAAATCTGTGGAGATTGGACATAACATTTCCTCTTATGTTCAAGCAAGACCTAAAGGGCAATTGCTTCTTCAAAAAGAGCACAGCTTTGACTAGGTACTGTGTGAGTGTATACATCTTAAATATTGTAAAAGTCCAAGTACAAAATTGGATTTGTAATCAGAGACTGCAGAAAATACTGTTCTTTACGAGCCTGAAAGGAAGTTACACTTTAAAGGTCACAAGTTTTTTACTAAGAGCTTTACATGGAAATCCTGTCTAAAGTCCTCAAGAGCAGGGAATGAAAACATATCTACAGCAATTACAGGATGGAAAACAAGATCGGTTTATACTAAAATCATCTGTAGTTACATTTTTCAGAATGGCAAGTTTGGGAAATGGTAAACATGCTAGCTAGTGCTGCTGAGGAATCAAAATGCATTCTGCTATAATGGCAGCTAATGTTGGTTTTGAAAAGCTTCGCAGAATGTACAAGGCTGACCATGCAATCTGAGGCATCACAGTCCACATGACTGCTGAAATACTGACCTTCAAATGTTAAGCATGTTCATAGGTAGTGAGCCTGCTTTAATAATTTCAAGCTAAATTATTGGAGACTCGCAGGGTTCCTAAACAGTCCATTCTGAGTACGGGTAGAGCTATACATAAAATGGTTTTGAAAACACTTCCTTTCTTCTCTGAAGTAGGAATATATGGCAGTACAACTGTTTTCTAGACCTGTGATGCCAGTAGTCTGGAATTTAGAAGAAGGGGGAGAAGGAAGGGAGACAGAGCAGTTAATCTTTCTTTTAACCTGCTCCAAGACCCCAGTGTTAATTTACATTCTATTCATCTTCATTTAAAATTTAAAATTCTTCCAGGAAGATTGAGGAATTGTTTTTGCAAACACCTTACCATTTTTTTTTTTTTCAATTTACCTTTATTGTGCTGATATGGCACATTGTACATTATAATGCATATTCACCTGCATACATTCAATTACAAGTAGTTTGAAAGTAAGGCAAGACCAGCATGAATGTCTGCCAAGCAAGGGATGTCTTGCAGATCCAGGACTGAGATATATAGTTCATTATGTAACTCAAATTCCAGACCTAATCCATCTTGAAACAATTTTATGAGTTGATTCTTGACACATACTTTGGGCAACTTTATTTAACTAGTATTATTTGTCGAGTTTTTGAGAAGTATTATTGAGACTAACTGGCTTAATAGCTTAAACAAAAACAGGAAGGGGGAGCAGAAAGAAGGAAATTCTCTGAAATAAAGTAAAACCTTTGTAAAAAGATACAAAAGTATTTGAGATTGGGCACTCTGCAGTAGTATAAACAGAGGTATGTTCTTCCTAGATCTGGTAATAATATGAAAAAATGCTCAAATTCTCTTTTAAATTCTATTTTAAAACCCCAACACACTTGTATTGTTTTATCTCTAATTAACTGATAATTACCTCGTTTCATGCACCTAAGAATCCGGTCATCCAACTACTGTCATCCAAAGAAGCCTGGATGCTGAATGAGAAATTCATACTTGAATCTAAGGAGATATGGTCTTCTAAGATATTCTCAGGCTCATGTGATGTGAGTGAGAGTCTGTTTTACTTACCATCTGAAATCAGCAGTTTTCTATAAAACACACTTACAAACCAAGTAACGGAAGAGGTTCTGTGTTTTCTAGGAACTGAAGTATTAGCAGCATTTTTGAAAACAAGTATGTTGGTTTAACCAGTTTGCCATTAATTAGTTGTTTTATGTAGTGGAAATGTCATAGAGTCATTGCTAGAACAAAACATTACCCAGAAAATACTACTAGAAATAGCCAAATTCAGAATGTGCTGTAAAACTGGTGCCTAAATAGATCAAAATTGCCTTCGGGAGCAATTCCATCAGAACAGCATTCCAGCTTCAGCCTAAGATATTTGATTGATTTTGATGATGCTGTAAGATGTTAGATCCTGTGGTTAGGTTATAATTGCTACATAAATGTAAAGGTTTTAAAGATGATTTATCCACTATAATTGTAATGTTATTTGAATAATTGTGTTGTTTTTCTGCCTTTATGCAATGAAATGCACATTCTTAGAAGATATGAGCTGCTTTTTATAATGAAAACAATATATTTTACACTGCTGCACTGCACACTCTCTGTAGCTCCAAGTATTCCTAAGAAATTAACCCCATGATACACAATCAAAATTACAGTGCCTTCTTACATGTGTGTTGTCTTTTTTTTTTCCTATTATTTGGTAGTGTTGGTGTTGCTTAGTAACATAAGGAACATCAACAGATATGCTACTTATTACGCAGAAATGAAATTCAGAAAGAAATTCATGCTGCAGGGAGGACTAATTTAGGAAAAAATACCTTGGGCTTTTGTTTGGTTTACTTTTTTAAAAACTTAGGCTAGACTGAAGACACTAATATGCTGGCTGAAAAATCATTTTAATATTGCAAAAGTGTTCTAAAGACCCTTAACTGCTGTCACTCTATTGTAAAAAAAACCCGACTTCTAAGAGGCTTATGATTTATCTTGCTTCAGGGTGAAGTACATCATAAAGTAAACCAAACTCTATTATTGATGCCAATTTATAATATTATTAATTCCTAATAGTAATTTGCCTGTAATGCTTTTCACTGGCGAATTCCACAGTACTTTGTGTTAATGAACTGTTTGCACCCCATTAAGACACCATTCTCACCTTACAGGAAATTGCAACTGACCAACCTATAGGTCCAGTTCAGGAGTGCAAATGCTTCAGAAAGGAAGGGTTAATGTGATCTGCTCAAGGTCATGTAGCAGCTTTATAGTCCTAACCAAAAATAAAATCCACCAGGGATTCCAATTCCCCTTCCAATTCCAGTTTTCTGCCATTTCATGGCAGCCACTCCCATCTCTTTGTGGTTAACTTGTATTTGGGCTACATGCTGAACTGAAGAGCAAAGAAACACCTCAATGCTTCCGCATAAGATGTGAGTATTTGGGGGAATACGGCAATTTCTTTCCTGTGCCTCCTCTCCGACTGAAACAAAGTATAAACTCAGTATTTTGTGGTTTCAAGGTATTTGTGCAGGAATACTACAGTTTGCTACTGAAAACTACAGCAAAGGGAGGAGGTCAGAACACATATATAACAAAGCATCAATATTTGTCTTGATTTTTAAAAATATGTTTGGATTTTAAAAAATGTACTACTATTCCTGTTCTTTTCCTATTA